AACAGACATCCATTCATCCATTCACCCATACATCTACATATTAAAATGAACTGTGGAGTTGGTCGGTGTTCTTGGCTACCATTCCTGACCCAAAAGTAGCCCTTATCCTGAACTTTAGGACGATCATTACCATGTGTGCTTTTGCAGATTAAAAAACATTTTCTTGTAAATCTTTTGTCCAGTGCTTTAGACTAAAAGCTTATGAACTAATTATGTATCAAGGCACAACCTGAGGAACTTTGTGTATTCTGGAAAAAGCCATTTCAAAAATAAGATGAGCACAGATTAAGTCATTTCACCTGGCCACAGATGACTTCCCCCTGGGACAGTGATCACTGTCCCATCCACTCAACTTGGGTGGGATGACACTGTCCATTGCTGGGAACGGATGTTCTCTGGAAAACAACAAAATGTTACCCACATGCAGGGTTCTAGCACTTTGATCGATGGGTTCCTTATGTGTCTCCCTTCTTTCCCAGAGCACAAAATTAGTTACTTGTTCTCCAAGCCGAGGGAGTAGTCCTTATTCCCACTGACCATTTCTTCCCTTCCTGGCTCTACTTCAGAAACTTTATAACCCACAGCCTGCTCAATCTTTGTCTTTCCAGATAAAGAGGCAGAATTAGTTCATTTTTTTTCCAAATAGGAAAAGCATTCTGTTACCCTTTTGATAATTGTTCTAAAATGATAATTTTTTTCTAAGTCTGTTTTAGCTCTTCAGAGACACATTAGAAAAAATTGCCTGTAACCCATAGATACAAAAAATGGAACATAAGTAAAGGTTTGTTAAAATACTTGGCAAGCTAAATTACATGTAAATGGAAAACTGAACCCAACCATATGACAATCACAATGAGATACCATATCAAACATTGAAGGACAGTTACTACTATAACACATATAAGCACACACAACACACACACCGAATAAAAAAATCAAAAAAGTGTTGATGAGGATGTGGAAAATTTTTGACACTTTTGCATAGCTAGAGATGTAAAATGGTACTACTGCTTTGGAGAACCGTAATGGGGTCCTTCAAAAACAAAACAACAATCACTCATCTTATGATTCAGTAATACCACTTCTAGATAGAACTTGCTTATGCAAAAGAATGGAAAGCAAGAACCTGAGATGTTTGTATGCTCATATTCAGAGCAGTATTATTCACAGGAGACAAAAGTGAAGGGGTAAACAAAATGCGGTACCTGTTGTATAAATGAGATGGAATATTAATCAGTCTTAAAAAGGAAGGAAATTCTGACACATGACATCTAGGTATACTTTGAGTACATTAGGCTGTATGAAATAAGGAAGAAACAAGAAGACAAATATTATATGTACCTAGAATAGCAAGCTTCAGAGATACAGCATAGAATGGTGCTCTGGGGGGATGGGGTGAGGGTGGGGCAAAGAGAGTAATATTGTTTAATGGATGTCGAGTTTTAAGGTTTTGGGGAGAGTTATACTAGGGTTGGAATTCTTCTCATTTGCTAGGCTAATACTCTATCATTTGAGCCACACCTCCAAGTCCTTTTATGTTTACTGGTTATTTATTTATTTATCATCTTTAAGTAGTTGTACAAGGGAGTTGCCATCCAACAAAGCATTTTATGAATATAATGTGTCTTGGTCAATGTCATCCTTTTCAACATTCTCATACCTCCCAAACCCCTCCCTCCCCGCACTTCTCATAATTTTGTATTGAATTTTTTTTACTGCATTTTCCCCTTTTCCTCTCTTTATCTGTTACTCCCTTTGGACACTCTGTCCCTTTCAAGGGCCTGTTTCCTGGTGTTTATTTTGTTGACCTTTGATTTAGCCTTTCTAAAGAATTACCTTGAGATCTCCCCTGAATCGACCATATTTCAGTTCATAAGCCTGTGTACATTTGCGTACCTCCCAAAGCATTTATATATTTATAAACTAATTCTAACTTCCACATTGAGAGAAAGCATGCAACCTTTGTCTCCCTGGGCCTGACTGCTGGTGACAATGTCAACTCATTCAACCACTCTGGAAAGCAGTATGAAGGTTTCTCACAAAACTAACCATTGATTAAACTCCCTACGACCCAGCAATTCCACTTCTGGGCATTTATCCAAAAGGTTACAAATGAGGATACAGTAAAGCCACCAGCACAATCATGTTCATTGTTGGTTATTTTTGGAGATAAAAGTCTAGTAAACTTTTTCTCCCTGGGCTGGCCTTGAACTGAAATCCTTCAATTCTCAGCCTCTTGAGTAGCTGAATTTTAGTTTTGTCTGATGTAAACTCTCTGGAGATGGGTTACAAAATGATGCAAACATATTCGACATTAACATATGGTGTACTTAGAAATGGGTATGATGGTTACACATTTTAAAAACAAACTAGCCAGTCTCATGAAACATTAAAAGTATGTTATTTTAAAGGATGGGTATTAAGCAATAGTCATTGCGAGAAGCATCATTTTGGTGTTGAGAAATGGCTTCTTTGAACTCTTGGCTCATGGTTCACAGTGATTCAGTCATCTTGCCAGTGAAATAAGGATTTCATCTTATACTTCAGCAGCTCGGTTCTCCCAGAGCCTATAGAGCTGCTATGCATTTGCAGATTGTTGGAAGAGCACTACGAATGTTTGTTGACAGACTGGTTCATGGGAGGGGTTACCAACAGAGTGAAGAAGGAACAGGAGGGACCAAGAGGTGATTGTATCAGCTACTGAGCAGAAAACTGGAGCTATGAGAAGTTCCTGTTCTTAGCTTATAGCAAAAGGGAAGAGTGGGAGAGAATCAAGCATGAGTACTTCATGTGTCCTTGCTCTGTGAGTTAAGACATACAAACCACCAGGTACATATATTCTAAAGTCATATGTATCTTTTATTTTGGCATGGCATCTGAAAATCCACACAGATTTTGTTTTTCTTTTTAAGTGAAGTGAGAGCCAACTTTGCAATTGACTTCAACAATGATGAGCCATGCTGGTTTTTAGCACATTTGCTTCCAGCTGAACCCCAGGAGTTTTTTGTTTGGGGTTCCATAGTGTGTGGTTTAAAACTGAAAATTAAAGTCCCCTTCCATGCAGACAGATGCAACACAGAGGAATCGGAGCTGGGAAGCTCTGCAGGGCCCAGGTGTGAAGGGCCTGTGTGTCCCTCCTATCATCCCCACAGCTGAGCGATGCCCATGAGTGAGACTACAGGTCCAAGATGGAGATGAGGGATGAGGGTGGCATTGTGTGGGACCAGCTTCTTATCCCTGTTCATTGGCCATGGCTAAAACTCTAGGGCTATGCCATACATGAGGTGAGAAACGAGAAACCAATCAGAAGAAAAGTTGGAACCACTGGAACATCCTGAGTGTTCTAGAATTAACCCAGATAAGAGAACTCCAAAAGCACATCCTTAGGGTGAAAGTGGGATTACTTATGAGGATAAGAAGTGCACTAGCCTGTCACTGGCAGCTCACGCCTATGATCCTAGCTACTCAGGAGGCTGAGATCTGAGGATCTCAGTTCTAAGCTAGTCTGGGCAGAAAAGTCCCCATTGACTACAAAACCAGAAGTGGCACTGTAGTTCAAGTGATAGAGGGCTAGCCTTGAGTACAAGGAGGCTCAAGGACAACTCCCAGGCTCTGAGTTCAAGCCCCACAACCGACAAGGAAAAAAAAAAGAACACTATAATTTTTAGTCACTCAACAATTACTGCAACAAGCTATAAAGCAGTGATTCACTCTACAAAGAGTTATCAAAAGTTTCTCACATAGCCAGATGCTTGTGGCTGGTGCCTATGATTTTAGCTACTCAAGAGGCTGAGATCTGAGGATTGTTGTTTTAAGCTAGCCTGGGCAGGAAAGTCTATGAGACTCTTGTCTCCAATCAACTAGCAAGAAGGTGGGGGTAGAGCTACGGCTTTAGTGGTAGAAAACTAACCTTGAGCAAAAAAGCTAAAGCTCAGCACCCAGGCCCTGAGTTCAAGCCCCAGTACTGGCCAGGAAAAAAAAAAGTATATTCACACACTGAATAGCAAGTTCTCTAACTTTTTAATAAGTTTTTTTTATTGTGAAAATACCTTACAGAGGGTTACAATTACATGAGCAAGGTAATGAGTACATTTCTTATCAAGCATTGTTGCCTCCTCCTTTGTTTTTCCCCTACCATCCCTGCCCTTCCATCTCCGTGACTACAGAACCCCCCCCACACACACACAAAGTTGTAAAGTTTCGTTTTTCAACATAGGATGTTGTACATCTCATTGTTGTAATGCGTCAATCTGAATCTTTACTTAAACAATTTGCTGTTTTACCCCTTCTCCTCCCCAAATTATACCAACATCAAATACAGTGAAAACAGGGGCTATACCCTGGGGGAGGGACATATAAAGCAACAAAACAATCACCTTATAAATATGTTAGAAACAATAGCAAGAAAGAAAAAAACCACTTGTGTCTTTTTTGAAACAATTTTTCCCCAAAAAAATATTTTATCAGTTTCTTAGCCAAGAGTTTCCAAGATTCAAGTTCAACTTCTTGGCCTCTTAGACCCTCTTGTCCTTCAATCTCCTCTCCTGAGCTTATTCCCACACTGTTTCAAAATCTTACTCCCAGAAAAGTCCATATGAAAACAAACCAAATGCCTGTTAAGCAATACAAGTATACTGAATGAACCGGATAGTTGGTGAACGCAATAGAAGTCAAATGTCACAAAGGCCCACTTGAATATCCCTGATCAAGCTTAGGTTCTGGAAAGCCTTTGAACAAAAGTGATGGATACATGAAAACTCAAGTGTCGGGCTGAGAATGTAGCTTAGTGGTAGAGTGTTTGCCTAGCATTCATGAAGCCCTGGGTTCAATATCTCAGAACCACATAAACAGAAAAGGCTGGAACTGGTATTGTGATTCAAGTGGTAGAACACTAGCCTTGGGCACAGAGAGGCCCAGGGACAGAGCCCAGGCCCTGAGTTCAAGTCCCAGGACTGGCAAAAAAAGAAAAGAAAAGATAAAAGAAAACTCGAATGTCTTACCCAGCTCCACGTCTTGGTCATCAGTGAGCACAAGAATAATGTTGGGTCTGATGTTTTTTCTCTCCTGTTGTATTCTTCCTCTGAATCTTGGGGACCGAACAGTCGAACACAGGATCCCCAGCATTTCTGTGCCCAGGACAGCCAACACCAGCACACAGCAAGAATACTTCATGTCTCAAAATGGACACAAATGCCTCAATCACTTGAGTTTTAAAAGTTGGGGCTGTCAAGAGAAAAAAATGTAACTCAAACTTCAAACACAGTTGCAGAAAAAGGGCTACCGGGAATAAATCCAAAATGATCTACCCAGTGGCAGAGAGAACCCTCATAGCACTGGGGAGATTTTAAGTACTTGACTGCTTCACAAAATCACCTTCCCCCATTATTCTGGGTCCAACTCTTTCTGTTTCAAGCCATTGCCAAAGTAAAATTTGCAGCACAATGCTCAATCATAAAAGCTTTTTGACAAGACTTAATACCTTGAGTTAGGTATCCTGGCTGAATAATCAATTTCTACACCCAGAAGTATTCAGAACATCTGCAGATGGAGTCCTAGAAAGGAGAAAGGAAAAAAAAAATACAAAGGAAACATCAGTTAAGGGTTTCCAAGTAGACTTTGATCTGAAGTAGTCTCTTGAACCTGCAAATAATATGTATAGATACTATATATTTCTTTCTTCTCTTCTCCAAAAAGGACAAAAGTAAACATACAGAACTGCCTAATAAATGATTCAAAGATCATCTCCATTTCCCAAGGAGCTCCCATACACAGCTGTGAACATCTCACTCCTGTTTATACTCTAACAATACTTGCTACATCTTCAACAAAACTAATGATTGATGAGGAAGAGTCAGCCATGCCCCAAAGACCACACAGTGCTCGGAAAAATGTGTCTGCATGTGGGGAGCATGAACTCACCCACATGCCATACCAGGTACCTAGCAAACAGAATGCAATGCAAACCTATTGTGTGTCAGCTGCATCATGTCACTAGACTTCGTAGTGGCTGACTGTCAGGACAACCTTTCCCAGTTCCCCCAAAGCTCCTGGCTCTCCTCTATCAACCTACAGGAAAAGAGCTTCCCCTGGGCAAGGCTGGCCCTTCTCTCCAGCACTTGGCTCTCCTGATGATGCCTAAGTGGACAGAGCCCTCCCCCAACTCCACAGTTAGCCAACAGCTGTACTGTCAGGGCCAGACTGGCACAGCCAGCACAGGGATTTGTTTTACAGCCACAGATTTAGACCTGCACAGCAAGATGACTGACTGGCTCAGAGACTGAGGTTAGTGGCTACCCTTCCAGATAGGAGAAGGAGAAAGAGAAGGAAGAAGAAGAGGAGGCAGAGGAGGAAATCTAGAGAGGAGAGCTTGCAAAAATCTTTGCTGAATTTCTTCACAGAGTAGGCCTTTAGAAAGAGTTAGAAAAAAAAGTATGTGCCTCCACTTTGGAACATTCAGCCACAGAAAGCTTTTCTCCTGAATTTCTGAAAGGGAGCATTCAAACGAAGTATCTTCCTTGGCTATGCCATGTGGGAAGCTCTTTATGGGAATATAGGCTACTCTCAAACTAATTAGATAGTAGCCTGCTTCATCAGCCTCTCTGTCTCCTCACACCTGGGGATCGGTATTTTGATCTGCAGTCATAAACTGCCATAAGACAAATAAGCTTAACCAATTAAGCATAAGCATCACCTAGCAGAGGTAGGAGTTCCCACATCCATCACCAGGTACTGAATTCTGAAGAGAGTCAAGGGACAGTGAAAGAGGAGAGAATGTGCACTGTTTACCCCTGACTTGAGCATTATTTTGTTTCAGGCAACACACACACACACACACACACACACACACACACACACACACACACACCCCTATTATTTTAAAACCTTCTAAACTGTTTTGTAAACTGTTCTGACATTTTTCACTCTGCAGCCTATAATTACATTGTGTGTGTGAATGCCAGAGAGAAATAGAGAGAGAGACAGATAGAGACAGAAAGAGACAAAGACAGAGAGACAGAAACACAGAGACAGAGGAGAGGGAGTGGAGAAAGAGAGGGAAAAGGAAAGGTTTCTAAATAAAAACCTGGTATCTGTGAACAGGCAGTCCTGGCTACAAACCAGGCAATTCTACCTGATCCCACAGCTCAAGTCCACAGGCATGATTCCATGTATTTCCTTAATGACCCAGGGTTATTCCAACAATCGCTGTGCATGCTGGACCCAGAAATCCTGTGATTATGTTGCCCTGTGGCTGTGACTGGCTTTTGTGCACTTGTTTTAAACCATGAGAAATATGATACAGGCACCAATCAGGAAAATGAGAAATGAGATGTCCAATAATGGCTTGTTCCCACACTGTGGGTCAGGCTTAATTGTTAAATGTAGACATTACTTAGAGGATTTCAACTTTTAAGTAGCAAAACACATCTCATCTCTCAGAGCCTAAAGGGTGTGGGAGGAAAGAGGGAAGAGGACATGTTTTCTTTGGCTGTATCAACCAACCCACCTCTGCTGACAATGGCCCTTGGGAAAGGATAGTCCACTCAACTGCACTGAGTGAACAGTGACACTGGGTTTAAATAATCATCCACACAAAAAGGAAAGTCCTTGACAATTAAGATGCTGATAAGAGTCCCTGGAACCCAATCCACATGGCTAGTTATTCTTTTCTTTATCTTGCTTCCTTTACTTCTTCCTTTAGGAAAAAGAAAATTCACTTTTAAAAGCACCTTGCATAAACTACACCAGAAATCATTTCCTCATAAAAAAAAGGGAGAATGAAGATGGAGTTTAACCTCTTCAGTGACTTCTTCTCCTGGCTAACTAAAGGGACACTTTATTCTTTAATTCTTGCCACATTTTATCTTATTTTCTTCTTTTACTTAACTGTTTTTTTAATTGACTAACAATTGCATATGTTTGTGGAGCACAATGTAATACTTTAGCATATGGTTCACTGTAGAATCATAAAAAGAGATTAGCACATCTTTGTCATTTTCTTGATAGAATATTTAAAAAGAATTCTTGGACTTGGGGCATGGCTCACGTGGCTTGCTAGGCGAGCTCACACCCTGAGTTTAATCCCAAGTACCTGAAGGGAAAAAAAATTCTTAACAATTTTGAAACTGACCATACATTATTATTAACTGTGGTCACCTTTGCGATACAAGCAATCTTGAAATGTTAGTCCTCTTGTCTAACTAGGATTGTGTATGCTTTGGCCATCATATTTTCCCCCTGCCTGGGGAAATTCATATCCAAAAGAGAACTCATACCCAAAAGCATAGTCATTCAGTGTTTAAAATTTTTTGAGCTTTCTCTTGCCCAATCTTTTGTCCTATATCCTCCTTCCTTAAAACACAGAGAACATCCTACACTAAAAACACTGCATAGGGCTGGAGGTATAGTTCAATGATAGAGTGTTTGTTTAGTTTGTGTAGAGCCCAGGGTTCCACACCCAGTTCTAAACACACACACACACACACACACACACACACACTCATACAGAGCACTGCACACAGACAATTCTTCATTCAAAAATGACCTTTTAGGATCTGTCATCCTCTTGCTCCCTGTTTTCTAGCTCTAGAAGGAAAAGAAGCACAGAAGGAAAAAAAGAAAAGAAAAGAAAGGCTGACAGGCAAAATACAGGACTTGACAGAAGAGACAAGGATGCGACATCTGAATTGGATAGTTTGTGGTGGACAACAAGTGTCCTTAGAGACTTAACAATTTGTCTTGAGAAGTAGTAACAAATGAGAGAAATGTAAAAAGGGGTTTCTCACACATGGAAACTGAGCTTGGAATGGTGCTAGGACCAGAATACAAGTTGCCTTTTCTTTAAGCCATAGATGAAAAGCCCAGTTGTCGTGATGGTCAAGTGGTGTGGAAAGTTTTCAGGCCTTTGTTTAGGACATTCAATCCAAACTATACATATGGCATTTTGTTCAAAATCACACAGAAAGCAAAAGAAAAGAAGATCACAAAGACGTCAAGCCAGCTGGAGGGAGGCAGAGAAGCACCGCCTTCCCTAGCAATGCATTTAGCTACATTAGAGCTCTCGCCTTCCCAAGAGATTTTGGAGAAAATGATGTTACCAAGCCCCCTTTGTACAGGAATCTGATGCTGAGGCCTTCTGTGGAGATGGTGGCCAGGTTGAGGATGTAGATCAGTGGTAGAGCATTTATTCATCCTCTGTGAGTTCCTGTGTTCCATCCCCAGAATTACTAAATTAAATTAAACTAAAAAAGGATGGTGGCCAATGTCAAATTTCTTTTGTCTACAAAGGAAATTTTCAATGTAGATTGGGAATTTAATTTCTTAATTTTTTTTTTCTTTTGCTGCTCCTGGGGTTTGAACTTAGAGCCTGGCACTGCCTTTGAGCCTCTTTGTACTCAGAGCTAGTACTCTACCATTTGAGCCATAGCATCACTTCCAGCCTTTATTGAGTACCTTATTGGAGATAAGAGTCTCACAGACTTTTCTGCCCAGGCTGGCTTTAAACCCTGATCCTCATCTCAGCCTCCTAAGATTACAGGCATGAGCCATGGGTGCTTGGCTTAGACTGGAAATTTTGAGGGACTTTGACTCTTGTCAGGCATCCATGAAGTTGAGACTATTTTGAAAAGAATATGGATACACAAATAGTTCTTTTTTTAACTTTGTTGATGTTTGTATTTGTAGATCAACAGTTTAGAAAACTGCTTAAATTTTTTAAACCTGTTTTACAGTTTAAAATGCTACCTTCACTTAAAAACAGCAAAAGGTTGAATTTATTCAACCTTGACCTTGAGTATATGACTTTGGTTTGCAATGTTGTGTCTGATGGCTTAGGAGGCAAACACATTCCCTGGCTGCCTTGGGAGGTAAATAAATGGTTATCATCTGCTGTAGGTGCCTGAGCTGACAGGTCAATTAGCCAGCATATCTTTACCAACACCAGTTCTTACTTAAAAGAATTATTTATATTTAGATCTTTTGTGCAAGAATTTTCTCAAATAATGAATGAAATGATCCTATAATTCCAAAGGAAACGGCTGACAGTATTTATTACCAATGACAGAAACCTAGCAGTAAGCTGTAAAATTAAAACCAGAAGTTTAGAAAATGTAGATTCAAGAACTCTGGGTGTGGTTCGGGGTAGAACGCCTGCCTAGCAAATGTAAGGTCCTATGTTTCAACTGCAGTATAGGAAAGAAAAGACAACAAACAAACAAAC